CGTTGGGGGGGGGGGGGGCTTCATCATCATCATCATTATGTAAATGATGTATGGAATAAAGAAAACATTTTCAATTATTCTTGAGTCAGAGATATTAACTATTTAAAACCTGCATGGTATTTTTCAGACTTTATAGAATTCCAAAGTTGGCCTCTCCGAAGAACATTTGTTGCAGCATTGTACAGTTTACTTTTTCAGACAATTCACAGCATTTTGTGTATATTTGAGTCTTTGATGCCTGTCTATGGTCAGTTCATTTATGCACTGTTGTCATGGTTGCATTGTTAAAAAAAAAGTGACATTTTCAATGTCATATGACAGTAAAGTGAAACATTGAAGTATTGAGTTGTTTAATGTATACTTTATCTTCCCTTTAGCAAAATTAGGTTGTCACAGTATTCTGGGGTGGGGGTGGGGGGGGGGGCAAGGCACAGAATTGGAAATTCTGTTTTATTGATAATTTAAAAGTGGTTCTTTGTCAAGAATATGTTCCCTTATCTGGTTTACCTTTGAATATGCTATTAAAAGCATTTGATGATGAACTACCATTGTCAATATTTAATGAAGCTCGTCCAAGTTTCCCTGCCTTCCAATGTATCTGGCCAATGCCAGACAATCAAGATTTTATGAACATCTAAGTGTTTTCATTATATAGACAGTCAGGTTGTATACCATCTAAATTGGGGAGCTGATTGTCACCAGGAAGGAGAAAATAATTAATCGATTTACAGCACATTTGCATCCAGAAAGCTTCTGATTTGTCTGATAAAAAAGTTATTGATCGAGTGCAGTTTATCATGGTAACTGCTAACATAGCTCTACCACTCTCAGCAAATGGTTGAAAGAAAAAAAAAGAAGGGGAAATGGAATCATTTTGCCTGCTTTGCTCTGAATTGGCAGTAAACTAAGCAATAAGCATATAGGTCGGGTGTATTGATTGTGGTACCTTGTGACATAACTGGAGCACCTGCTTCAGCTTGGCATGGAAGATGGCTTCTAATAATTGTATTGGTTTGCTTCATTGCAGTGCTAGCTGATAAAAACGTATGGCAGCAAATCACTGAAAGAGAGAATTTTTATTCTAGGTGGATATAATATACTTTACTTTCTGTATCTAATCAAAGGAACATTTTCATTGAGTCCTATTTCCTTCATTATTCCTATATTAATCACCTTGTCATTCTTCCATTAGTCTGTTCACAAATATGGATTTGCTGGCTTTTGTGCCAGGATGCTGATACTTGTTAGGCACATTGGTTATAAGTTATAAGAAAGATGTGTTGTAAAAACTTTGATAATTATTTCCTCCCTCTGTCTATCAAAATTTATTAAAGGTCAGGTGATGATACTTAGTAGGAACATTGGTCATGACCACTAGAGGTGCCTAATAAATATTCAGGTCAAAGTTCAACCCCACCCTCAATTTGAATTTGTTTCAAATTGCATATTTGCAGTGTACTCATTTTTACATATTGTATAGTGTAAACTCTCCAAAGGAAAAAAAAGGGTTAAGTTACTACAAAGTTGAATCGAAAGTCTTACACGAACATTTCAATATTGATATTGGATTTGACCTTTGGCCATTTATTCAAGGTCAAAGTGGGATTGGAGATGATTATGAAGTTATAAATATTATTTGTTGTATAAATGTCAGGACTATAGACATTTATATTATGATTGATACAATGGATATTTCATTTCTGACCCAAGATTAAGATGTTAATATATGCCACCTATACACAGAGTGCAGTTTTTAAGAAAAAATATTGTCTGCCATCTTATTTCATACAGCAATAAATGTTCTACTTAAGTTATGCTCCTGGGGTAAAAAATAGCCACAATAGTGTAACCTGTTATGTGAGGTTTAGTGGGTGCAGGGTTATTTATAGTGTTTGTGACTGTTCTAGTTTTTGCATGATGTTTTTACATTAATTTTAACTGAATGACTGATTAAACAGCAGGATAATTACCACAGTTATCATTGTTGCTGCTTTATCAGTACCTTGTAAAGGAAATTACATAATCACCAAAATGTTGACTCACTTAACAAATAACTGCTTCAGTGTGCATAATATTTAGAAATGAAAACGTAGACATCATCTCAGTAAATTAATCTCATGTTTCTCATTGACTTGCCCAAAGTTTCAGGATGAATTCTGGGCTCTTGATCTTTAGCTTGTCTTTACTGATAAACAAAAGGGTTTTAATTTTTTTCTTTTATATTTCATAACTAATCACTGAAACTCTTTTATTTAGCTTTGGTCACCCCTATTTGATTCTTACAGAGATCCCACCTTATCCCATCAATAATATAAATATGTTTCTCTTTTTTTTTCAGGCAAAGCGTGTGGACGTGAACTGCATCATACTGCCTGCAGAAAACAAAAAGGACTTTGCCGACTTGCCCAACTTCATCACTGAGGGGCTCGAGGTTCACTTTGTAGATAACTACCAAGAAATATACGATACTGTTTTTGATTCCTAACAGACTGGAAAGCCTGTCATCTGGCACTGGCATCAGACTTGATTTGCCAAGATAATAGTCTGTACATTCTCAAAATACACCAACATTAAGATGGATAACGTCTTACTTCCCTGGTGGTCTGTGTCAGTTAAAAATGTTTTCACAGGAAGGAGATGTTTAGTATAACCATCGAAATCTGTCAAAAATGCACAACATTATTGATACATTTATCTTGGATTTCAATTTAACAGAGTGGCTTCCGTGTAACATTATGATAATGCTTCTGCTTTGGGCATCTTATCTGACTGATCAAGCTGTAAAAAATGTTGAAATTTTACTTTAATAGTATATGACCTCAACTGTGCAAATTATATAAACCCAATGTACTGCTAGAAGAATTAAGTAAATTGGAAATGAGGTTTTTTAAACCTGCCCAACAGGAATATCTCAGTTGTATTTTGTGTGAATACATTTCCCTGAATGACATGTCCTCAAAGGCCATTTTTGGCCTTAAAAGGTAAGCTTTTTTTTTTTTTTTCTCGGAAGGTTTTGCATTTCAAGTTGATATGTGGGCAATTATGTAGGAATAGTAGAGATAATTAATAAAATTGCATTAACGGTATATATTGCGTTTCTGCACTTATTTACCTTCTTTGTTTTCCGACTTGTTCATGATTTTGCAATTTCTTTTTTTTTTCTTCAAAATTCATAACGATGATTGGCAAAGAAAGGGCTATGGATAAACGCCTTGAAAACATCCGCGAGGAGATCACTGGTACTTGTTTCCCCGAGTTGCGTTCCAGGTAATCTTGTTTTCCTAGATACCCATCTAACCTTAAGCTGGCTCTGAGTCTAAGAAGGCTGGACGGTCGAGCAAGAAATGGGTATGTCAACTATTTCACCTTTTTAGACAACAAACCCAGAATAATACTAATAAAAGGACCATACAAGTTTCGTTATTTCATAATGTCAATGTATTGTTGGAGCGATAATGCAACAAATGTGAATAACGCTAAAATTATCACGTTGTCAACACCCAGAAAAACAATGTTACAATACAACGATACTCTGACAACTTTTTTCTAATGGTAAATTCGACAACATTTTGCAGACAGTGTAGCGGCATTTCCTTCGAGTTACAACTGCAATATTGTCGTCTCCTGGAAAACTTTCATACAGGTCAGTTTCCTGTGAGAAGAATTACCGTCCTGGCAGCTGCCGCCTGCTCAGTTGCCTTGATCGACAAAACGGTACATAAAAGATTAGGGGAGACCGGGGCTAGTTGGCCCAGTTGGACACTTTTGGCCTTGTAGAGTCAACTAGGAATGGGTTACAGTAACAAAACCGGTTTCAAAGTAAGCCCCATGAACTAAGCTACGTATGCAACGTCATTATTTTCCAAATATAATGCCAGATGGTTCACAATTTGACAAAAAACGCAGTTGACGTCAAGGGGGCCAACTTGCCCCGCCACGGGGCAAGTTGGCCCCAGGGTCGGGGCAAGTTGGCCCCCCTATACGAAAATGAAGTATATATCCCATATAAACGCCTTTAAATACATTCTTATACATTTTTAATTTATGAAATTGATTTTTGAGAATCTTTGATGAATAAATAGTTCAAATGAGGCAGATGTATTGAGGTTTTCGTACGTCATATTGTAGGGGGGGTATGTGTTGCAAGAACCAAAATATCTATCAATAAAATTTGTTTTGTTTTAATTAAGAATAAATTAATAATGGTATAAAGCAGGTTTTTAATGAATGAAAACGAATAATAAATTTTCATTTTAAAAGAAAGTAACAAATTCAGTTTTATACCATTGAGTTTGTTTCAACAATGGTCTCTAGCTAGGGAGGGGTGGGAAATCCCCTTGGGGCCACATATAACACTATAAATAAAGGGAATCCCCTTACAATGAATTAAGGCAAAATAAATGTTTTTCTCATTTATAAGGAAGGTAAAATGGATTTGCTTTGTAATACATACAATCAACAGAACATTTCTAATATAAATTTTCGAAAAGACACCAGAGAGCAAATCAAATAAAATCAATCAGACGGTAAACACCGACAAGCTTTGTCAATTTCACCAACTTGTTTATTTCAGTGTTTATTTCAAACAGCGTTGCGCGCAAAGGATTGTGGGTAATATGAGGGTCCAACTTGCCCCGAGTCAAGGGGGCCAACTAGCCCCGTGTGCACATTATTTATTTTAAAGAATGGCAGCCATTTATGGTGCTAGAATGAGCAACGATGATACATCTCTGTGAAACTTGAAACAATGAGCTTCAGTTTGATGCCCTATACATATCTTATATTCGATCAAAAGCTTATAAAATAGATTTTTAAATCTCTTAAACAAAATTACTTTTAGGTGCAAAAATAATTTATTTGGACTCACCGCTAAATTAAAATTTTTTAACGTCCGACACTTCCTTAGCATTGTAGGCTACGGTCACTTTACAAGAGTATGTGGCCAATTTTTTTACCTTGTAGTTACTTTTTCATAAATTGACGGGGGGCCAACTTACCCCGGGGTCCAACTAGCCCCGGTCTCCCCTATTAAACTAAAATCAACTTTGCCATCCGTAGTCTCACGTATGTATCAATTGTGGTTCATAGATAGGTTCAGTAAATCTTGACAAAATATAATATTTATAACAAACAGTGGTGCAGTAAAGAAAGTTTATTATTATCATTATTATTATTAAATCATATTGGCACGCACAATATACAGTTAGTCGTATTTCCAAAAACTATATAAACCAATACATCCAGAGTCACGAGCAGTTGGCGAAAACCAGTTATAAGCGGATTAGGCGTATGCTTTTTAATTATTACTCGGAACAAAAGTGCACACATGGTTTATCTTGAAACCTTGGAATGGGTTCACCTATTTGACGTGGCTCTTTATCACCTGTGATCATTATGGATGGGGCTTCTTCGAAACGTGTGACGCTATTGTATTTAAGGAACTGGTGAATTATAGTTTTTCGTCTGAAGTTGTAAACGTATAACATGATGTTCCAGTCTGTGTCAAGTTACTTTTGGGAAACGTGCAATGATTCAAACTTTTCAAGACTTTTGTTTGAAAAATGTTATAACGGAAGGCATTTCTAACTATAATGAACAAGTCCGCTAATACTTGGGAGTTTCATGATACGCAAACTGCAGTCGGGTTTAGCCCCTGTAGGTAACGGCAGAAGCCAGCACTTCTCCATCCTGCGATTCAACGCGCATTTTCAGAAAAGTACATATTAACTGCTTTTTTGGTCCAGTTAAAAACAGGATATTGCTATCGCCTTGCCGGGCGTTCGCGGCAACCTGCCGCGGTATTATTCATATTGGAATTTAATTCACTTTCGCTCAGATGGAAATAGCTCGCCAACAACGCATAACCCACTTTCGTAGAGCTTTATCGAAAGTCAATGATAATGTAGTTTGTGCAATTCTTTCCAAAGTTTCGATCTAAAATCCAGTTTCACTTCCTTGGTTTGAATTCGTGTATTAAATGTTTCAGTGAAAATGGGCGTCTGAGGTTTAAAAAAGTACCTAGATAATTTATACAGTGTATCATTTGATTGGCTAAAGTAGACCGTAGTAAATTGTACATATCTCCACAGTTTATAATATAATCATTTTAGACGTTAATTACAAGTTCAATAAATATAACCAATTAAAATTCGGCACACTGAATAATATTTATGCTGTAGATTTAACAAGAGACCGTAATTTTCCTCTGTTTCGTTTCCAATGTAGTATCTTTATTATTATTAATTATCATTATTTTTGACATGGTACTGCCTGTAGGCCTAATACATAATCTCACATATTCTAAATACATATCCCAACTTTTAAAATGTCAGTAAAATATATAACAGAAATGTTTGAACATGCCTTTACCAGTATAAGACAATACCAATGTAAAATTTCGATCTATAACACTATACTTAGTGTACTTACGTCATGCTTTACATATTTACTGGCGGCGGTTCCAGGATATCATAACGGGACAGGGGGGGACAAAGAGACGATCAGCCAGGTTAAACACCCCCTCCTCCGTCAATAATAATTGATCCATATAAAACAAAGCTATATAGTCGGCAAGGGAGGTGGATCCGCAGTTCTGTTATGGAATGGGGGGGGGGGGGGGAGAGAGGCATTGGACATGCCTGAGACATGAATTTGTGTGTGTGAATGTGTGTGTATATATATATACAAGAAAAGTTTTCGTATTCGCTATAATATTTTTTCTCAATAAAACACGTAACATAAGACGTCGCTGCTATTGCGTATCCGGAATTCTACATGATAGCCAAAGCTAAAGCATATTTCCGCGTTGGAACCATCAGCCACGACCTTTCATTATATAATACTCTCGTTGGTAAGGCTTATTCATTTGCGGCACCCTAGAATCTATATATATATATTTTTTGTCCGTTTGAAGTAATGTTCATTCTTTCAGTTTGTGCCACTGTGCAATCTGTTTTCTGGGACAGTTCACCACTTCACTCCAGTGGCACAATTCATTCCCCTTGGTATGTACACCCAGGTCCAGTCTGCCTATGACCTCGTTCTTGGTGACACGATCGTAGTCTAAGAGAAGCAGTTCCAGACCAATGTTTTCGAGGCCTTCGTTCGAGGGTACGTCAAATACGAAAGATTCGTTGAAAACTGGATTGACGGTTCTTTTCTTGACGTGGGTTTTCTTTTTCGCAACACGTTGGCCGTCGTATAACAAATAAATCTTTACATATGGATCTGGAAAAAGAAGATGAAGAAGATAAATTACACTATTTCATACATATATAATGATCCATTTTATAATGACATTTAACGTTCATAATATATATTTATTGCACGACATTTCGTGTGTTGATAATTTCCTCCACCAGATTCGTCTAGCACTGAGAATAAACAGTAATGGCCAACGGGAGGTTAATTCTTTTTTGTCTGATATTACAAAATGCCTAACATAATTTTTGGTAGTGAATAAAAACGTCACGGGCAATGGGAAACTTCAGATATCCAAAGCTTTTCTT